ATAGAAGGTGGTGTTACATCACACGCACAAAATCCATTTCTCTGTTATTTTCTATTTTTCTTCTCTCTTTTCCTTCCATTTCTTCTTCTTTTCTTTCTTTAATCCAAATTCTCCACAATCTGCACAACGAAGTAAATTAACCGTAAACTAGAACATAAATCAAGATAAATTAACAATAGTCACAAATAAATGCATGTAAATCAAGTCAAATAAACGATACGATTTTGCGTCATCAAACACCCCCACACTTAAACCATTACTTGTCCTCAAGCAACCAACCAACACGGTAAAAAGAAATAAGCATAGTTCGAAACAAAAACATGATGAGACGCTAATTGTACGTGGCTGCTAGGCTAATGTTAGATCGATAGGTACTAAATATCAATACCAAGGATACCGTAACGACACAATTTCAAAAACTCCCTACTTATGCAAACCAATCGGAATCATGCCATTATAACTCAACCTATATCTCATGCTCTCTTTCACCCTATTTCATTAAAGTGCAATCACATTAAGCCCGTTATCCATACACATTCATGGCAAGTAAACCTGTTAGTGACTATGATCTCGATGCTATTTCATTTTTTCTTTGCAAATATGCTTAAGCATCAATTGAACTTAAAGAGTTTGTACCATTAGGCTAAGTGCTCGGGAGAGGAGCACCTAACTTAGAAGGAACATGTCTTTTTCTTCATAATTTTTTTCTTTCTTAATTTATCATTTTACACTAGAGATCATACACTTATTTGCATCGGTTTCTTACTTAGTGTGTTTAGGATGGTGCTGACTGCTTAAATAAACTACTTAGGGATTACTACAAGAACCTGGAGCTTTAAGGTTTCGGCATAATGGGTACTCAAATTGATTTTGCATATTTAAGGGGTTAAGGGTGTCGGGTCGGTATCAATTTCATCAAAACTTTCCCACGTTTTTCTAACATAGCCTGTACAGCCTATATACTTTCAGAGAACCATGTCATGAATCGAAGCAAAAATTTGTTGGAGGTTAGAATTTTGAAATTTTGAAATTTTGGGGAAATTGAATAACAAGCAAAAACCACGCATACAGACTCGACAGCACATGCAAAGACTTTGACATAATGTTAAAAATAGATAAAATTCATAGAAGCATGAAATAAAATGTAAAACAATAGAGTTCCTCCCCCACACTTAAACCAAACATTGTCCTCAATGTTTTAGTAAAAGGTGGAAAAGGAAAGATAGAACCTGTATGAATGCTACTGCTCTTGCTATCCTTGTCTTTGTTGATCACTTCTACTTCGGCGGCGGGCATTTTGAGATACCTTTGTTTGTGTAATTCTCGAACCAGCTCATCATGTTGCTCACGTCAAGAGGAAGTACTCATCATCAGTGTTCCCACCAGCAGCGACACTCGTAGGAATGTCTGTGGGCATAACTCGTCTTCTCAGATCGTCATCTAGAGAGTTTTCGCTTAGATATAGCTAAAGAGTAACAAGCGATACATTTCTTTATTTTCTGCAAATTTAAACAAACAAATTAAAATAAAGACCTTGTGGGTTGCCTCCCACACAATGCTTTGTTTAACGTCGATAGCTCGACGGCCAAGGAGTGCAAGTACTCATGGGGGTTCTTTCGAGAATGGTTCATCGATCGAACTTTGAATGGTCTTCGGTTTCCATGGCCACTTATCAAGCCATCTCTCATATCCCTCACCTTTTCTTTTCTTTTCTTTCTTCTATAGGGTGGTTCATTGTTTTGAACTTGTGGTGGTGGTTCTGGATCTATCCTAAGTATCAGTTTTTCAAATTTGGGCTTAGCTATTTCATCCACCACCTCAAAATTTAATCTTACCCTTTTAACAGTGATGATGACTCTAGTTTTATGGTCCTTGAATTTTCTATTGTCATGAAGGACCTTAGACAAAGGTGCATTAGTGTGGATATTTTCCAATACATCCACATATGTTTTGGATTTGGAGTTTACCTTAGCTTCCACAGCCCTTTGTGGGAAGAAATAGGTGGGTATAAGGAGGAGGGGCAACAATAGGTGCTTCCTTCTCTACCTCTTCGACAACCTCCCTTTCGGGTGGTGTCGGTGGATTTTTCTCAATAATTATGCTTTTCTCACAAAAACTCTCCTCAGACTCGTGATCACTCTCCCTAGGAATTTCTAATCGTTCTTGATTAATGGTTCTTACAACATTCACATGCCCTTCTAGAAAGGGTCCTAGGGGTATAAGTGTAAGCAGGGAGGTTTGAATCTCCAAAGTCTCGCTGTGAGCTGCGAGGGAATCGACCATATTGCTCATCTGCTTGAGATTTTCATTAATTTAGAGATGTTGTTTTCTAAAATCTTCATTTTGGAGAGTTTGTGTCTCCACAAAGCGTTCCATCATAGATTCTATCCTGGAGTGAGTAAGTGTCGCGTCGAATTCTTCTAGTAATAACTCGAGGTTGGATGTGTCGAAATCTTGCGGTTCCTCACAATATTGAGAGTCTTCATTGTAGAGGGGATTTGGGTGAGAAGGCGTCAGATTGAGATCTTCTAATAATATTTCGAGGTCAGATTTAGGTGGATCTTATGGCTTCTCAAAATATTGGGGGTGGTAATTATAATATTGGGGGTGGTAGTTATAAGGGAAATATGAGTTATACATTGTAATGGAGATAAGACTGCCTTAGTCTATACTATGCAACAACAGAATGACAATATTGACTGTTGATCCCCGGCAACGGCGCCAAAAACTTGATGCATCCGCAAGTGCACGGAAATATCGAAGTAATATAAAAGATTGTCGAACCCACAAAGACCAATGTCAACCTATCGTTATCTATTATTACGACGTAAAGCTAAGGCTAATAGAATTTGGAAATTTAAATGCGAATGAAATTAAATTCAAAGAAATAAAGATTTTTCTAGTTTTAGAAATAGCGGTAAAGGGATGTCGGTATGAAATGTTTTAGTTTTCGGGGATTCGACAGGTCACTGATGCTTTTTAGTCTTTGCAAACAGTTTTCATAAGAAAATACTCGTTTAAAGACCTTCGTCTCATGATGGTTGTTGACTCTAGTTATGACTCTAAGGCGGAATGTACGCTTTCGCTGTCCCATTCGGGGTGAAAATCACTTTTTGAAAACAAATAGATTCTAATTTCTTTTAAAGCGCTTTCGCTGTATTTAAAATAAATGCCTAGTTTTTACTATTTGGTTTGAACCCCAGCTTTCGCGTGCCGGTTCGTGCCTTAATGAGTTTCCCACTGTCGTGGCGAAACTACTGTAAATAATTTCTCGCTTTCACGACGAAGGTTTATTTAGAGGATTTTGATTAAAAACTACGGCCAGAAAGGTGTTTGTAGATAGGGAAGGAAAACACCGGTTACTATCGAATCGTCCTACTAATTTATTACATACTGACTTATGCGGTTTAGCTAGACATGGTAATTAATGCAAATGGAAATAAACATAAACAGGAAGACGATAAAACATACATTATGACAGAAAATAAAGTAATAATTAAATTAAGAAAAACCTGGAAAGTAGTGTTGAAATTGAAGAGTAGTCCTCCACAATGTCGGCAGGATTCTACTTTGGCCAAATAAAATTGCAGAAAGAAATACAATGCTCTGAACTAAAAGGAAAAAGGAAAGGAAATAAAAGGAACGATAAAAATGGGAAAATGACTTCAACGGAACCTTGGCAGCCCTTCGGGACGTAGAATCCACCCCCCTCAATGCTGTGAATCTCAGGCCTATTTATAGGAGATATTTCCTTTCTCAACTTCTAGAGATCATGCAAGAGTTATGGGGATAATGGGAGTAACTTCCAGTAGTGGGCAGTTGGTGGAGAACGTGTAGGAGAAAATGAGGAAGTCGTAGGAAGAAATAAAGTTGGACGTGCTCGTGGTCACTTCTGTTTTTGCACGTTACTGAACTTGGGGTCGTGACCGTCGTGACACTCTTGTGACGACCGTGTTGCACGTGACGGCCGTGAGGGTCCGTGACGACCGTGAGGAAGCTGTGACGAGCGTCACACGCACAAAATCCATTTCTCTGTTATTTTCTGTTTTTCTTCTCTCTTTTCCTTCCATTTCTCTTCTTTTCTTTCTTTAATCTAAATTCTCCACAATCTGCACAACGATGTAAATTAACTATAAACTAGAACATAAATCAAGATAAATTAACAATAGTCACAAATAAGTGCATGTAAATCAAGTCAAATAAACGATACGATTTCGCGTTATCAGTATGATAATCTTTTATTATTATTAATGTGTTATATTTATTATGATTTGTATGAATTAAGTATATCTTATGAATTGTTTGGAAAGTAGAATATGAAGTAAATAAAAAAATCATATAAAATATATTTATTTTTAAAATAATAGAAAAAAATAAATTAAAAAATATGATAGCATAAAATACAATATATATATATATATATATATATATATATATATATATATATATATATATATATATATATATATATATATATATATATATATATATATATATATATATAACCGATTAATTTAATTCGATTCCAATTTTACAAAATTATGAAAACAAAAAAAAAAATTCAATCTAAACGGAACCTATTACATCCATAATAGCCAGATACTAATTTTATATTTGAGATAACAATACTATAATTATTATTTGACATAATTAATTTTAATTAATTGTTCAAATTTATTAGTAACTTTTCAATAATACATAAATCCTATTGATGTAGTCTCCAAGGTAGTAAAACTAGCAGTTAAAGTAACTTTCATATCTGTCTGGTCAAACCCAAAACCCACTACACAAAGAAAGAGGTAAGAAAAGACAAGACAGACAAAAAAGGCCACAAACTCAAATAAAATATTTCACACAAAAACACCATCACATTGGGATTTTAATATTTCCCATTATATTATCATCAAAAACTTTGTCCCTGAATTCTTGCGAGAAACAGTGAAAGAAAAAAAACTCATGAAACTTTAAGACTTTTCATCTTCCACACCTTCAATCATTTTATGGATCCCAAAAACTCAACACAGCAAACGTCCAACAACAACATGGGAGATGATATCAACAAACAACAATCTTCAGAATCAAAGAATCTCCGGACTGTGTTATCTGAAACAAAACAAGATGAAACAAAGAAACAGCTTGCACCAAAAAGAACATCAAACAAAGACAGACACACAAAAGTTGAAGGAAGAGGAAGAAGGATAAGGATGCCGGCTTTATGCGCTGCAAGAATCTTTCAACTAACGAAAGAGTTGGGTCATAAATCAGATGGTGAAACAATTCAATGGCTTCTACAACAATCCGAACAGTCGATCATAGCTGCAACCGGAACAGGAACAATACCGGCTTCAGCTTTGGCTTCTTCTGGTAACACTTTGACATCACAAGGTTCATCTTTGTCTTCTGGTTTACAATTGCATCAGAAACTTGATGAAAGAACCAGTTGGGCCCATCAGGCCCATCAGGTTAGTTCATCAAGTTTATGGCCCCATGGATTTGGATTTCATCAATCATCATCTGGTTTAACTAGTACAGCTAGTGAAAATAGTTCAAATTATTTTCAGAAAATTGGGTTTTCTGGATTTGATATGCCAGGGACTAATTTGGGAGGAATGAGTTTTACATCAATTTTGGGTGGAAATCCACAGATGCCACCTGGTTTGGAATTAGGTTTGTCACAAGATGGACATATTGGTGTGTTGAATCAACAGGCTTTGAGTCAGATTTATCAGCAGTTTGGTCAAAATCATCAAACTAGGGTTCATCAACATAATCAGAACCAGAATCAGAATACTACTAAGGATGATTCTCAAAGTTCAGAACAGTAGAGTGATTTTTATATAAAAAATGTTTTTTTTTTTCTGTTATTATTATTGTATATTTGGTAGAGTTTGAGGAAATAGAAAAACTCAATAGAAAATGGATTTGGTTCGGTTTGGTTTGGTTTGCTGTCTTCTGATATAAGGTGATGATTTTAGTAGTTTTGTGTTTTTTTCTTCCTGAAAAATTCATTGTGTTGGATAGTTTTTGATGATGTTAATTACTTGTGGCAGGTGGAATGGGATGGCCAGAGATAGGTTTGTGGATTTGGTTTGGCCTTAAAACTTATTGAGGTGTGTTGTCGATTATTTTTGCTGTTGTTATGTATCAATTAGAATGGAGTGATGATGAGTTTGTTTGTGAAAAATGATGATATAGTTTATATTCATATATTTGCCGAAGTTCTCATTGGATCTGTTTGGTATTATTTAGTACTTTATCATCTCAGAAATTTTTATCCCTGGAATGAATCTTGCAAAATGTAAATGACTTCTTTGAAACTTTGCAACTACCCTTCATAATTCATCAATTTGGTCGAAGTGTCCGCATCAGTGTCATGTCGACGTGTCCATGTCTAGGGGTTTCGACCTGTCGGACATGTCTGTTTGTCCAATATGCATTTTCTAAATTTTTTTTTTTGGGTACAAGCATTTACAATATTTCTTTTACAATTGTAAGACTTTATGGGTGTAAGGTCTGCATTTCCGTCCCACCGTGTGGCGGACTAAGATTTTGGGCCCTCCTTTTCGATCATGTCGCTCCGTCATGTCTTTTTTATTCAAATTTTTGCAAGGCTGACGATTTTTGCAAGGCTGACATGAATGGGACGGATATGTCTATTCGCCACTTCTATTTATATTTGTGTCATGTTAAGTGTTCGTGTATGTGTCTTTGCTTCGTAGATCAGGAGTCTAGAATATTTCCAATATGAAGAGTTTATATTCATTGTTATTGATAATATAACCCTCTGTTCATCACTCTTGCATCAAGCTTTGACTCCTTATCTTGGTTTGAAGTATTGAGCAAACTCAAAACAAATTCAAGGAGTAAAAGGACAATTACTTAAATAATAATGTACAATTTCCTATGTTTTTCATAAAAAAATAGAGAGAATATTGTGGCTCCAGAAAACACTGACAAACTGCCAAAATGTGTATGTTGTTTTTATGACATTTACATGGTAGTTTTGATGAGCTTAGTTTTTTTTGACATTGAATGCAAGTGGAAGTTTGGGCTCACAATATTTAAACAAGCAAATGACATTGAATGTGCTGATTTTCTGGTTACTAGTGCTTCAATGATCTTTACTAGTATATAAACTAGACTTTTTTTAATTGTAATTTAATTTTTATTTATTTTAAAATGGTGGTTTATGTTATTTGATGTTTGCCTTGTTAAATTTTTTAACAAGTTCAGTTTTGATGAATCAACATATTAACAGGGGGATTCATCCATGTCAGTAAGTTAAAGGTTGGGGGTGTAATGATTCGGTTTGAATCAGTTTAAAGTGTTTTTTAAAACTAATATTGAATCAAATTAATTGATTTGAAATTAACTTGATTTAGTTCAGTTGATCGGTTCGATTTTTTTTTTCTTCGTAAAGTATGAAAAAATTTGTTAAAAAAATATAGCATAAAATAGTATGAATTTTTTTATAAAAAATATAGCATAAAGTATCGACCTGTGTGTCGCTGACAAAAATAAGTATAATGACATACTTTCTTTTGGACATCTCAATGTAGGAAGAGTTGGTCGCATTTTAAAAAATATGACCTTATGAATATATCGTACGCTCGCGGATAATTAATAGAATTGCCATCAAATTTATTTATTTTTAAATAAAGGAAAAATAATAATAAAATTTTAAGAAAAGAGGATAAGATGGTCATCACAACTAAATATGAATCCGGGAGTCGCTTATACGAGAGGAAGGTATTTGCATCTTTGCATCCGTTGTACTCGATGAAAACCAGAGTTAAAATGTTTGCTTAAAGAATGTTTGAACTTTTTTATTCTATTTTTAAAATATTTACAAAAGGGGAAAAAAAAGAGTTAGTTTTTTATTAGTATGCTCGTAAAGATTTCAAATTTTCGTGTTTACATATTCTCACCATGCAATGAGAAAATCAGAGTTTCGTAGTTCGTGTAAAAAATATTTGTGAGTGTTCGCACGCAGTTTTCGCGCAAACAACCTCTGACCTCCTAATGCAGGCTTACTTGCGGGACCGGCCAAACAAGTTCCAGAACTATCTGGTCGAGTCTATGTGACGGTGGTAGAATGGTTTTGTTTAGAATAAATTGGAAACAAACTCGAATAAAAATGTGTATATCAAATGGAGGACAAATAAAATAAACGAGTAAAAAATCAAGATATCTTAAAGTTTGGTAATGTAAGTTGCTTTTAAAAGGAAATGTGGACGCGATCATACATTTTGCAAGAACGGACTCTTTTCTCTTAATGCTTGGTACTCAGAGTGTTTTTCCCTTACAATGTTACAAAATGCTCTCCCTTAAAATGAAAATGGGCATTGCCTTAAATAGGAAAAGAAAATAACTGCTATGTTGTTCTTGGTGGCGCCACGTATCCCTCGACCACTTTTGTAACTTCCCCACGTTCTTAACTATTCAAATTTTCTTTCCACTCAAAAGTTCTCATACTTTGTGTCGGTTTCCTTGGCCATCAGTCGACACTTTCGAAGAAATAACCTTGAGTCGACTTATAACCTTCTTCTGCTGGCGTCAACTTACCTCGTTTCCTTCACCACCTTTCCTAGCCTGTCGACCCACAAGTCAGCTACTATGTCAACTTTTCCCAGTCGAAATCTTCCAGCCAACAAGATGCCCCCTCAAAAACCCAGTTGAAAATTCTAGCCAGCCCACGATGGATGTTACCACAGAAGTTATAACATCCAATGTGACATTCACTACAAACCTACTATTATGCGGTAATTATAAAGCAGTAAATAACACAGTTGGTTTTTGGCCCAGTTCAGTGCAACATACTTACATCTGGGGGCTACCAAGCCAGGGAGAAATTTCACTATCAGTATAATTAATTCAGAGTCAAACCTCCAGTTTGCACTCCTCACTTAAAACCTACCCAATGACAATTTAACTTAGAGACACTCTAGATCTGAGTATACCCACTCACTCCCTACAATCACCTTAGTGATATCCAAAAACACTTACAAATTAAATAGTAGTAAGAAGAAACACTTCAACTACCCACACCTTGATCTTGCTTCAAAGCTTTGATCAAGTGACACACACTCTTGCTTAACATCTTCGAGTGATACACAGCCTAGAAACTACCTAACCAATGCAATCAACAGTTGCTTGGATTACAAGTGTTCCTAAGACACAATCGTGAAGGACAACCTCTTCACTTCTAAACCACTATGGTGATTTCTCTGTTTCTCTATCTTCAACAGTTGCCTTCTAGGATTGCTTCTCCTGTTATTTATAGCAGCAGATCAGTCATTGTGCCTAGGCGCATAAATTAGGTTTTATCCATAATAAAACCTCTTTTCAGTATTCTGCACGCTTGCCACTTTAATCAGGTACATATTAGTTCCCTTAGGGCTTCTAAAATGTCTCCTGCATTCTAGCTTGAGCTTCTGGTTTGTTTCCTGAGTTCTAGCTACCAGAATAACAAACATGCGCTTGATGTCATACGACCTATGTCATAACATTGAGTATGACATCCAACTTAACTTATAGTTAGCTTAGTTAACTTACCATGCACAGTCCATATTATGAATGTATCAACATTAGACATGATATTCATACATACACTAATATTTTGCCACAAAATGCAGCCAATCAAGAGCACTTACAAACTCCCCCTTTGGAAATTTTTTGGCTAAAACACTTTGTACTTACACCAAAGATTTACACACAGTAGAAGACTTAACATAGGTCCTGTCATGCAGGAAAGTCACTAGCTGCTCAAGCCCTCAGGATCCTCACAGTTGGCTTTCAGCCCTGTTAACACTCACTTTGTTATCCACCTGTTAGTTATCACTTCAAGTGTCATTCTTTGTTGAGTGAGTAACACACAGAGTTACCCCCCCTCAACTGATGCACATCAGTTGAACACTTCTCCTGCAAACAGCCTGCAGTCACACATATGAATCCAGCCTGCTCTGGATGTTATGACCTTCAGGATAACATTCTGAAGTCACACAGTTGTGCTACTCCCCCTGAAGGGATGCACTATGCTAAGGGATGCACTATGCTTTTATTCTGCTCTTGCACATAGTTCCTAGTTCTAGCATACATGGCATACATATCACATCAGTCACAACCCAAATAGATGTTATCACACACACACACACACATCTCATTAGCAGCACCTGCAGTTACCCCTGTACATCCTAATATCATATGCACCATGGTGCATATGCTCAAGCACAACTCATGTCTGTCTTGTTCTTCCACCTGCTGTTTTCTATCTTACTTGATATCAGAGCCCTGCAAACATGCAAGTATGATTATGTCATATATGCACAATGGTACATATATATGTACACTGATACATATGTTGCGCTCTAGCTATGCACTAGCTAGTCTTCAACCTGTTCACCCACCTGTTGTCTTATTACTCTCCCCCTTTTTAGCCACAAATTAAGATCCAACTAAATACTTAGCAGAGGTAAAAAGTTGTAGGAACAGATAATTGTTAAGGGTTATATTACATAAAGATAACTCAAACAGAGCAAAGACAATGCAGAGGTTTACACAAGATTCACATGATTCTAAATTATCAACCAGCAGTACTCCTTTGTGCACCCCCTCAGCCATCAGTGGAGTGTGTTGCAAGACATCAATCCTCTTCTGCAGCTTGGCTGGACTCGTCCCCACCAGTTTCTTTAGTGTTGTCTGCAGTGGTGTTACTTTCTTCCCCTGAGCAGTCATCAGCATCTTCTGAACCAGCTTCTTGACTACCATCTTCCCTAGTATCATCATCTTCCTTGGTAGCATCTTCTGAGCTATATGTATCCTCATC